CACTGCCGACTCATTCACTGGGCACCCAGTGACTGAATTTGTACATCAAGTTTATTTGATTCATGACACTAACATCTAACTCATTAGCAAGCTCTTGAGTGGCTGCATACTGATCTTTCATAAGTTCTGGCAGGAGGTCCTCATCAACATCAGTAGGCTATCCAGAGCACTCTGCTTCTTGAATGTCATAGTTCTTGTTTTTGAACTTTCAGTACCAAACCTTCACAGAGTCATATGATACAACATTAGTACCTAAAGCTATAGACATTATTTGGTGTCATTCTGTAGCTGACTTTTTGCAATAGAACTGGAAGTAAATGATGGTTCTAATCTGGTAGATTGATAGTTCTATTTCAGACACCTTGCACTGATAGTTCTATTTCAGACACCTTGCACATAATGAAATGATATTTTTTTATAAATTTCACAACACAGTGTACTAAAGTAAAGTAAGTTTCTTTTTCCAAATGCAGAAAATCATTTGACAAAATATGATTAAGCACAACAACACAAACTGGTTGTGCAGACGATATTTGCAGTTGCAGGAAACTTTTCATTAAAATACGATATTTCATTTCAAAGCAATTCAGCCATTTTACAATATTATGAGCATTTTATAAGTGAAGAAATAGTGGATTTAGTTGTTAAAGAGTAACCGTTATGCTGAGCAATCAGGTAATGTTGTTGGGAAAACAAACTGAAAGGCAGGCGAGAATGGAAATCTGTATCGCCACACAAAATGCATTTGTTCCTTGTGCTTTTGATTTTACAGGGTATAATGAAAAAACCAGAAGAAAGCATAGCACTCTGCTTCTTGAATGAAAGAAAGAAAGAGAAAGAAGAAAACATCAGTAGAAGTGTCTTTTTTCCAGATTATGCCATATAATCAATATTGTGAAATAAAAAAAATACTTGCATTTTGTAAGCAGTGATTCTCATGATCCAGAAAATCATCCTGATCAAAAACTAAAAAATTTGGTGAATATTTGAATAAAGTACACTGGTGTGCAAAACTTAAGCAGCAATGTAAATTTTAATCAGATAGCCATGAAATTACAGAAAAGGAGTTCTTGTGATCAATACAATGAACACGGAATTCAGTAGAAAGGTCATGTGTATGCAAAAATCAGGAACAAAATGTCACAGACGACGTGAGTGCACGCAAAACGCGTGCAGTGAGCGCGCTTAACTCAACACTGCAATAAGAGGAAGGTCAGAGACTCAATTAAAGACATTCGCTGCAAGTGAGTTCTTTCGTGAAATATGGCTAGAAGAAATCATCTGGATGGCTACACATGTGGAAGAATGATCGGAAAGGTGGAGGGTAGTGTGACCAGTTTAGTTGGAGAGTTCGGAATCAACAAAAGTGTCGTTTTACGTGCTTGGAAGAGCTTCCAAGCCATAAGTGTAGGTGTTAGAAAGATAGGTGGTAGCTATCCCAGGAAAATACTGCAGTGGATGACCGATATATCATCCTGCAGGCGAAAAGAACCTGAAACCAGTCAGTAAGCGTATAACTCAGCAACTGTTTACAGCACCGGGAGACACGTGTCGCGGTTTACTGTTTCCAGACGCCTTCACAAAAGTAGCCTATTCCCCCGCTGTCCTGAACACTGCCCTTTGAAAGTTGGCCATCAGCGCCACAGTTTAAAATGGAGCAAGGAGAACAAAAACTGGACATCTCATCAATGGAGTCATGTCCTCTTTACGGTTGAGAGTCGTTTTAGCACCACAAGCGATTCTCAATTCCAGTTGATTTGGAAAGAGGTCGGGACACAGTTTCATCCCAGTAACATGACGAAAGAGACCGTTAAGTGGTCCTGGAGTTCTTGTCTGGAAAGGCATTAAACCAGACAGGCAGACAGAGCTCCACGTTTTCGACAGAGGTTATGTAATCAGAGATCGCTATTGTCAGGAGGTGATCCTTCTCTATGTGCAGCTGTTCCGAGGTGCCATAGGAGCGGACTTCATTTTTATGGATGATAATGCACGGCCACACCGGACTTCTGCTGTTCAGAAGTAACTGGAAAGTGAAGATATCACTCGAATGGATTGGTCAGCGTACTCCCTTGATTTAAATCCCATAGAACATATGTGGGATACTTTGGGGAGACGCCTTGAGGCATGATTACATCCTCCGAAGAACACTCAACAACTGAAACGGACAGATGCTGATTGAGGAATGGACTCTTACCTCAAGATCTGTTAGACAATCTGGTACTGAGTATAGAGAGACGGTGCGAAGCAACCATTGCAGTAAGGGGAGAGCATATCCCATACTAAGAAACACCTGCTTGTTGTTCTTCCTCTTGTATAGACAATCATGTGTAACGATACTATGAGTTCAATAAAGCCTTTTTTTGTTTGATTCCATACTGTAAGCATTGTATTCATTTTTGCGCAACTATGCTGTCGTCATCGTTTAAATACAAAATGCTGTCTCTCATTTCTGAATTTCATGTCTCTCAGATGGATTCTCGTGGAGTTATGGCAAAAGGAACATCTGTTGCTTAAGTTTTGCACACCAGTGTATATCAAGTAACAATTACCCCTAAAAGAGATATTGCCATAGAACTTTGATGTTTTTCAAATGACGATGTTCAAATGACGTTTATCCTGGTGTCAATCCCTTGAAAAAATGCAAAATTTGGTATAACCTACATGCTAAGTAAATCTAGTACTGGTTATATATGGTCATTTATTACATATACTGTGAAAGGTACTTTATTTCGTCCTAAAATCTGTTCTCTTTTTGGTACCTTCACAAGTTGTTATGACTTAAATAAAAATGCCATTATTGAAACAAGGCTACTACATCCCCTTAGATAATTATTATGCTTCATCATTATGTGATATCCTTTTGACTTATCAGACAGATGTGGTTGGAAGTGTTAAACAAAACAGAAAGGATTTACCTTTAGCATTGCAAAATAGAGAGTTAAAATCTGACGAAGTTATATCATTCAGACGTGGAAAAATCCTCACTTTGAAATGGAAAGATAAGAAGGAAGTGTCAAAGTTATCATCTTTTCTTGAGTCTGAAACTGTTGAGGTAGTGACAAAAAGTAAAAACTGAAAACAAAAGCAAAGGTCCTAATTGACTACAATAAAACAATCGGAGGTGTGGACCTTGTAGATCAGTACCTTTCTAGTTGTTAAGTATCCAGAAATGATGGGGAAAAAATATTCTTTCACCCTTTAGACCAAGCTGTTTTCAGCTTTTCAAGTTTATAAAAAAGAAGGTGAGAAAAAAATCACATTTAAAATTAAACTGGAATTAGTGGATGAACTAACTGATAAATATCACACTTCTATTTATATTTCAAGACGAGGTTGTCCAATGAATGAAGCATTAGCAAGTTATTTATTTGAATGCCACTTTTTGTAACTTATACCACCTACAGAGAAAAAAAGAAACCCTGCCAGAGAATATAAAGTTTAAATTAATTAGGAGAGAAACAAGGCATTATTGTATAGACTGTAATGTAGGACTCTGCATACTATGTTTCAAACTTTATCACACCCAGAAAAATTATTAAATTTTTGAAAAAATATTATAGGTATAATTGATGTTGAATAAACGCATCATAATTTGCAGATAATACTGTCTTATTTAAAGCGTACATAACTTTTTTTCTCTCCAAAAATTACACAACATATTTCTTAAATGCCTCAATTGAAACTTTTCTGTTTTGCTTGGGTATGCAGAGAATACCAAATATAAGGTAAGTTAATAAAAACTTTTATATTTTTAAAAAACTGTTAAATTTAAGGAAAAATATAGTTTTATTTATATGAATCTATTTAAAAGCATTAAAAAATCTATACAAAAATTCGATGATTTTTGAACAAATTTTGTCAAAATTGTGTGGCAGGTAGGGGGCTAAAAACAAAAACATTGTTCTTTCTATTTCAAAGTATATTCTTGTTTTGAATTTGGTGTAATTTAAATGACCACATGAACGTTTTCTCCAAATTAAACTGTTTAAAATTGCTTAGTAAGAAAATTATGGTAACGTATAAATTGCTTATAGTATTTGCAGCTGAATATTATATGAGTTATTCTTTTTTCCTGTGTTTAAAATGTTGTCAGATCTGTGAAGTGATCAGGAGTCTACTGTGTATTAAAATAGTTCATTTGTTGAATTTCTGATTGTTGTTGGTTAATGCTGATTTAGTGATAGTCTAGTAGAAAGTTAATACCTTACTCAATTATGATCAGTGACAAAGATCATAATTTTTTTAAAGATAAAGATTTTATAAGGTTCTGGCTAGATCATGATATGATCATTAAACTATTAACCATCAAAAGCACTTTCTCATTCCTTCAGGCAGTATGAAGACTCAAAACAATTGAGCTATGCTGAGGGATTTTGAAGCTAAAGGTTCTTATATACATGTGGGGTACTACACCACAAATGCTTCCATGTTACCTTGCAGAAGCATGGTCCATTAATGACTATTTTTTGCCCATGCTATGTAAAATTCATAATGCATATGGCTGAACAACTCATAAAAACAACCTTTTTAATGACCACTTTTGTTTTTGTTTGTAAAATTTAAAGAAATTTAAATAAAAATTTAATAGGTTATTAAATTAATTAATGGAGTAATTTTCATTTATGTATTTTTAATTATTATATTTATTTCCATATTACGTAGTGTAGATTATGGTATTCCATATTATTTGGTAAATTACGTAAAAGTTTCTAATTGGAAGCCTTAAATTAGAACATAGGACATTTAGAAGGTGCATATAAACAGATGCACTAATATAACTGTATTCAAAAGAGATATTCATTTCAACAACATTCTTTTGTCTGTATATACATTTTATGTTATTACTATAAATCAGAAGTTTTTAAATCATCTGATGATAAAGATAGGGGTAAAAATCATTAAATAAGATAGTAATTAAGTTTTTTCATAAAATATGTCTGATTGTCTTGTTTTTTGTTTTATTTTAGAGTGATGTTTTTAATATTATTTTAATTTTGCAGATATCATTGCAAATTCCTGGAGCTTACAACTTAAGCATGGATCTTCCAGTCCTTATTGGAACTGTACCATTGCGTCCAATTAGTTATCGTCATGTGACCCCTGTTTTGGAAAATATTAGGGACACAAGTGATAATCAGATGTTTTATCCACCAGCACCACCATATAGTGATATTGATCTACCTGTTGTTCCTGCTGAGCGTATGCTTCTTTTTCTTTTCTTTTCCACCACTTTTTTCTTTTAACAAATATATGTTTGAAAGTTGTATTAATGTATGTTTACTTCCTGTGTATACTATATTGAAATCATTACATTGTATTAACTTAGCACATTGTTACATTAAAATCTTGGGCAAGAAAATGCCTAAAGTTTTAAAAGTTGCAAAGTGAGTAAAATTAGACTAAGTTAAAATACCAAAAATTTAAAGAAAATTCTTTGAATTGGGGGGGGGGAGAATAATTTTAATCTATTGGGAGTGGGGATAAATATTAGCATCAAGTATATCGGGAGCATTAAAGGAGATTGTTTGTTAGAGGATTATGTGCAGTTAAGCTGATTATGAAATAAACTAAACCGTGTCCATAATGATCACCTGCATATTACCAGCTCTGAATATGATCAGTAGTTCTTAGAACATCTGTATTCATCACTTTTTCTGGAGAAGGCTAAAATCATCTGGATTGCAGTTGATTGTGTAAAAGAGGAATCTAGTCGATTAAAGATTTTGAATATACAGTCGATTCCGGTTAATCGGACCACATTGGAAGCGATTGTTTTGGTTCTAATATCTGGCTGGCTCGATTACACGAACATGTCCTATGTTGTAAGACGAGACGTGCTCCAGTAGAGTAAGACGTGTTGTAAGACGAGACGTGTTCCAATAGAGTAGCGAGCATAATTGGCACCCAGGATAAAATATCTTTTTGGTGCCCCCCCAAAAAACACAGTGATATGATGAAAATCTTGTTTGGAGACGATTTGCGCCTGGTGTATCATACACACCCTTGCCCCTCCTCGCTACGCCACTGGACGTGCTATATGTAGCAAACAGTAAATGTACATGTAAATCATGTACTAAAACATAATTATGACCTTTATTTGTGTGGTACACACGTATGGTGAACATACATGTAAAAACAAGAACTACAGTCGAAAGTTTTTCATTGAGTATTAATTTAGAAACAAATCCTAAGAAATGATCTCCACGATACTCAGCATGCAAAGCACAATAAAAACAAGTTCTTACCAAGTTCCAGTCAACATTTGAAGAACTTATCCAATGTGATCACACGTTCTCTTTGTGGGAACTCTGAAAAGAGATCCTAAGGAATTTCAAGCCAATAAGTCAAAAAAAAAAAAGGGGGGGGAGTAGTTTCTGTATGGTTTTACATAAGACATGATGCTTATTTCATATGTTTCAAAAGAAAGAAAAGCTGTTATCTTAATATCATTGATGCACCATTCTTTTGAAAATTCTTGTCCATCTTCAGGAAAACCTGGAATCATAGCAATTTATAACTTGACCAAAGGTGGTGTGGACGAATTTGACAAGAAATGTTCGAACTATTCAAATGTTCGTCGAACCTGACGTTGGCCTATGCAGTATTCTTCAGGATCTTGGATATCTGTGCAATAAATGCCTTTGTGTTATTTCAATCTTATCCATTAGCTCCGAAAATGAAACGAAAAGAATTCATGAATTCATTAGCAATTCAGTTGGTGCAGTTTCATGTAAAATGGAGGATAACTTCATCATTTTTACCTAAAGAACTCAAATTTACAATAAGAAAAGTTTTCGGAATAAATGATGAAAGAAACAGTGTGATCGAATATGATAAATTAGATAAAAATGGAACATGCTATATTTGTCCACCGAGCAAAAAAAGGAAAACAGATTGCAAATGTAGAGCATGCAAATAAACAGTGTGTCTACAATGCAGTAGAAAAGTATGTATAAAATGCAGCTTATAATTTTTTAAATAAAAATTAATTTTCTATATTCTTATTAAAGCATTCTTATCCCAAATTTTAATGTAAAATAAAAAACTTGAATTTTAAAATTTACTTCTTCCATTCAGATATGTAAACAAAGAAAATTAAATGAAGGAATTATTATGCATAGTAAATATTTTATTTTAATGAACTGATTTAAGTATGAAAATTGCTTTACATCTTCATAAAAATGGTAAATATATGAAATTAAATAACATTTATTCAAATAAGAAAAATAAAACTATATCTTATTTTGTTTATAGCAGAAGTGGTCTGAGAGACTGCTCGCAGTAGTTATGCGACAATTTAAGTCACAGTAGTTAAAAGTCATTGTGGCCCAGCTTTTTAGCGAGTTCTTCTGCTTTGCATTTTAACATTGGGATGCTTACTCGCACAGCTCGTCCAGTAATAATGGCGAACTATTCATTAAGGGCCTCATCAACGTCTGGATCCTTGCCTTCACTCTTCCGTTTTTTGGAAGTTCCTCCTCATCCTTCACATTGCGCCCATTATTCTCGCAGCTCATTCTCTTGTTTTATCAAGCGCAAAATTGTAGTCTTTGCCAATCTGGTAATTTCCACCAACCGACGCTGACCAGTGTTTCGTGGTTGTTGTTTGATCTCATCCAGGAAACTAATTTCTTCAGCTAACGTCAAGTCCCGTTGTGGCATTTTGACAAGGGAGACAGGACACGCTCACAGTTCACTGACTAAAGTGGTCTGAAGAAACCTTGGTGTTTTGGGACCAAGATGCTGAGGTCAAGAGGGGAGATAAAATGCTTGCCATTCAAAGCTTTGGCACTAAAATCATCCCAAAAGTGTGGTGAAATGATAGCTTTCTCATGTAAACTTTAATCATGAATGACAGGCGGGAATTCCTTTCAGGTGGAGCCGGACACTCTATTGTTCATTTCCCCGAAAATCGGAGATGCAGTAGGGCCAATAACTGTTGGCTACTGGTGGCTCTGTTTTAAGAAAGGTCAAAGAAAATGGTGTACGTGTTCGTCTCCCACTGGTTTTGCTCTTGTCATACACTTTAAGGAATTCCTGACCTTTGATAAAGCATTCTCCTGAGGAGTGCAGCTACAGATCCTCCCATATGCCGCAAACCATCTGATATTAGGCTTATGTACATAAGATTTGTTTTGGCTCTGTAGGATTCGGTCTGAAAAAGCGGCTGGTCCGATTATGCGGTTGTTCAATTAACCGGATTTAACTGTATTTTCATCTTTCATGAATATATGTATTTTAAAATACATTTAACAGAATTTTATTTTCTTTAAAGATAGGTTCTTTTAGAATTTTTACTAGATTTTCTTGTGTAACTTCTGTTTTGGCGGAAAGTCTTTATATTCTTTGTTTTAGTCAGCTAAACAAAGAACAATTTTGAGGTAACTTTTTATTTATTTAATTTACTACAATTTAGGTCATATACCTTAACTACGTACAAGGCTATGTAACTGCTACTACTTATACAGTCAAAAGTTGTTAATCCGGACTCGTCGGGACTTCGGCGATTCCGGATTATCGATTTTTCCGGATTATAGATCATCAGTTTAAATCTGGTAAGATGGCATGCAGAAATTATAAAATTAAAAATATGAAACCGTAATTTATGAAATAAAGAACAATTATGATCTAAAGGGTATCAAAATTTACAAAAAAAAAAAAAAAAAAAAAAAAAAAAAAAAAAAAATTTATTTGTTTACTTTATTAAACATTTCTTTCAATGTAAGTTGTTTAAGTTGCTTCGTTTTATGTGATAATACTTTCTCTTTAATTCTATAAACAGACATAATTTCTTGTTCAGTTACAAAGTTCCGCTGTTCAAGTCCTATAATTGCCGTGTCGAGAATACTGACTAATTTGTCAATCGAAATTTTTTCGTTTTCAATAACCTCTGTGTCACTTTCTTTACTATCGGAAGCGAATTATAATGACGAGGAATTTGATTTAAATCATATCAAATCATATCAATATATCTTGAATTCTGACCTCTATATTAGTAGATGAAGGTATTTTTTTAAGTAGACATTTTATAAGCATCCAGTAAAATTAAATTAATACACCATATGCTATAATTGCTTGAAAGCAACTGAATTTATGTGTGCAAAAAAGCCTTCATCTGTGGGATGATAGTGTTGCCTATTAATGCTGATACAAGATATTTTTGATTTATGATTAAAGAAAAAATCACCTCTCAAAAAAAGAAGTCAATTTCAGACTTAAATTTTTTGCCATGAATTACTTTTAAATGTACTACTTTGGAAACGCCAGCATGCAGCCACAAAGAGAACCTTGTTTAGACAGTAGGTGTTGTTTAATCTGATCATGTCCGCCCATGACGTTTTTGATAATTTAAACAATGGGAAAATATTTTTCAAACTTTCAGTGGACTTTAATATGATTAGAAGTAATTAATTTTGCACTATTTTAATAAGGAAAAATGTCATTAATATAGGAGTATCTGGACCCATTATGCAAAGTCCATTAATAGACCATTCATATTTATAGTGTTTCTCAAAATTTATTTAAGAAAGCGGCAAGCAGGTATCTTTATTCATCAGTAATGCTGGCAACTTAAGTTGTTTTCATCAGTATTTATCCAGGCATTATATTTCACACTATTCATGTTATTGGAAATGTTTTTAATTATTTAAGTTTCTTTATTTAATCATTTATTAAAAAGTGGCATTTTTAAAACAGTTCTTTATTATCTTTTCTGAGACCATGTATCCAAATCATTATTTATATGTTCTTGAATCTTTTTCAACTGATTTCAGTTTTCCTGTTAGTGTATTTCATTAACAAAAATCATGTGACAATAACATCACCATCAACAACAAATCAATTTACAACTATGATTTGATATATTTTTTCAGTTTTATTTGAGAGAGCTGTGAGTAACTTGAGAGTAAGAACGCATTTTTTATCAAGAAATAAAAAGTTTAAAAAAAAGCTTTTGAGTAAGGTTTGCAAGATTTCATGATAGAAAAAATCATTCTAGTTTTATATTTCATTAAAAATCTGAAGACTTTCAGCTATAAAAAGTGCTTATGGCAAAGAAAAAGTCTTGACTTCATTTTATTTTTGTGAGCAATGATAATCATTGTGTGCTTTCTGGGCCAATAACAGCATGCAGATTAACAAACATGTATTGATTTCTTTTCAGTTGTTAAATAAAATAAGTTGCTGTAGGTAACTTTTTTACAACTTTGAAACTGACAGAAGGGATTGTTTCCAAAATTTCAATGTAGCTGCTAATTTTGCAGAAGATTGGATTACTGCAAAGTGCTTTATTAGAGCTATTAGTGTAAGAGAAAGAATCCTTTGTGGAAAACCGTCTATCAGAAACCGGCTTTCACGGGGAAAACCACAAAGCTGCCCATGCAGGCAGCTCATTTGCCATGATTAGAACCTGGGAAATTTTGCTAAAGCTGACATACTGAAGGCTATCTGTTGGACAGCCATTATCTTAAATCAGGAAACAGAGTAACTGTTTCTCTTAAGAAGAAAAAGTTTAATTTTTGCAGTCTATCTTTTATGAGGTTCAATGTTGAAAAGCTGAAATTTATCATGAAATCCTTTCACATTCTCATCTTATACTCCCTTCACATACTCATAGATTATAATTAAATATAATATTTAAATCATTTGTTGATTAATGATGCCATCATAAACTACCTCTAAGTCATATTTTCAAAATTTGCTTCAAATGTTAGATATTTGTCATTGTAAAGATAGGCATTTTATTTTCTAATAGATAAAAGTCCATCCAAATAGTTTAGTGCAGAAAACATCATACTTCAGTTTGAAAGGATATTTTCTCATTCATACATATGCATGTGTATGTGTAATACATTTTTTATGTTTATTTAAAAATCCGTTTTTAATTCATTTTTTATTTTCTAAAAATAAAGCATTTTGTTGAAGGTGGGTAAAAAAAGTAAAGTATTTTGCTTTGTTTTTAGCATAAATATATTAAACCGTCTTGCTTATTAGTTACGATACATGTATTTCAAAATAAATTAAAAGTGCAGAGATTTTGTTTTTATCCTGTAGCGCCTCCTACATATGCAGAATGTGTTGAAGGATCTGTAGATATTGCTGATGATGATGACGACAATATCATAGGAGATACACGTTTTACTCCCATGTATGCGTATGTTCACAGTTATCAATATCAACCGCCACCAGCCTATTCTGAGGTAAGTACATGTTTTTGTGCAAAATTGTTTCAGCAGAAATTGCCTCAGTGTATATTTTTTCATTTGCAATATATGTCTTTAATCAATTTTATGAGTAAGAGAGTAGGCATACTAAAAATTTCTCTTTTATATATTTATTTATTAGAAAAAATATTTGCCTTGTTCTAAAACTGTCTAGAATTTTATCTGAGGCTTGCCAGAACAAGTGGATTATTAAATTCTAAAACAATTATGGCCATTCAAAGTACATATGAAGAAATATACATGTGACAAAAATATACAAATGTAAACACACAGTAAATATACACAGTTTTCCTAAAACGTAGTTTTTATATATCATTCTGGACTTACTCTTTATTTCAATGGTATGAGAAATAGAGATCCTCATGTTGCATCCCTAACATTTTAGTCAAAAATTATTTCTAGTGGATGTATATGAGGACTGTTAAAAAAAAAGAGCACCTATGGTTGCAGACTGCATGCTTTAGCCACCGCGCAAACATGTAGCTTCATATTTTAGGAGCCGAAAGTCCAAGGACTGAACAATCTTCTGTATCAATATTTGTTATGCCTGCCCAATCTGGGCCTATTCATGTAAGACCAGCAGCAGAAAACTACAAACTGCACAAAATTGTATTTTATGCCAAATTACAATTGCCCCGTGGTATATATTTAACAGTCTCCTCAAAGAATTAAATATTTTTCAAATTAGAACTTATTACTATCGCCTTGCAAAGAATTTCCATGTGAGGCAGCACAGCTTATTAAATCCAGCAATCAATATTTATATTTATGACTTTAATAGTGTTAAAAATAAGTAAAAGACCTATGTCTATTCTCAGCAAGAGGATCATTTTTAATAATCACTGTTTTTCATTAATTCTGTGCATCTTACTTCTGTATTTCTGGTTATGGATTTTGTGAATTTTGTTCTGTATTAGTATTTTTTAGTATTATACCAAGACTGGTTCTTGGTAACTTGCACTCCAACTCACCAGCTTTCTGATTAAATTCACTGATTATCTAATTCTTACTTTACATTTAATTAGTTACGTAAAAAAAAATTATAACTAACCTATACATTACATTTTCAGAATTTAATTAGTAACTTTTAAAAATATTTCTAGAAGGAGTAGTGCATTGTGACCTATCACCCTTGTGGCACCATTACTCCGGAGGCTTATATCAACACATGACCAACATGTGCAGAGTGCACTATGAATTTGTACCACATGGTCAAAGAGTAAAGAAGGAACTGTATCAGGGAATTCTAACATGATTGAGAGATCAATCATTTGTGCATGTTGCATCAGAACAATATTGCAGCTCATGCATCGCTTCGTGCTAGCAATTATTTGAAAAAGTCACATTTTCATTTTCCCTCACTAGCCTCTGGACTGGTTGCAGCTGATTTTTTTCTTTTTCCAAACATAAGACAATTTTGAAAGACATTGTTTCCAGTCCACTTAAGGAAAATGCGGTAAGTGTACTCCATAGCAACGGAAGAAGCTTTTTCTAGCTGGCATTAAAAGTGGAAGAAATAGTAGCAACAGTTTATTGGCAGTAGAGGGAAGTACTTTGGAGGGGGATAGTGGTTGAAAGTTTGTATAATTAGCAATAACAAAAGAACAGCAATTTTTTTTAACAGTTCCTTTATTTAATCTGAATTGACTGCCTGATCAAGGGACAAATAATCTTAAATAAACAAACAAAGGCTCTAAATTTTACCCTATATTTATTGTGGGCTGGGTAATAAATGGCTGGCAAAAATCTCATGGTATTTTTGAGTAATTTGACGGGGGATATGTCAGTATGTTAATAGATGGGGGGGGGGGGGGGGGGGGGGGGGGGGGGGGGGGGGGGGGGGGGGGGGGTGGGGGGGGGGGGGGGGGGGGGGGGGGGGGGGGGGGTGGGGGGGGGGGGGGGGGGGGGGTGGGGGGGGGGGGGGGGGGGAGGGGGGGGGGGGGGGGGGGGGGGTGGGGGGGGGGGGGGGGGGGGGGGGGGGGGGGGGGGGGGGGGGGGGGGTGGGGGGGGGGGGGGGGGGGTGGGGGTGGGGGGGGGGGGGGGGGGGGGGGGGGGGGGGGGGGGGGGGGGGGGGGGGGGGGGGGGGGGTGGGGGGGGTGGGGGGGGTGGGGGGGGGGGGGGGGGGGGGGGGGGGTGGGGGGGGGGGGGGGGGGGGGTGGGGGGGGGGGGGGGGGGGGGGGGGGGGGTGGGGGGGGGTGGGGGGGGGGGGGGGGGGGGGGGGGGGGGGGGGGGGGGGGGGGGGGGGGGGGGGGGGGGGGGGGGGGGGGGGGGGGGGGGGGGGGGGGGGGGGGGGGGGGTGGGGGGGGGGGGGTGGGGGGGGGGGTGGGGGGGGGGGGGGGGGGGGGGGGGGGGGGTGGGTGGAGCCCGTTTGTTGGCGCCTTCTGCAGCCCATTTGTTAGGTCATATGAATTATTTCTGTAATCCTTATTTTGTTAGATATATGAATGTCCTGAAATTCGTTTTCAGAAATTCTATGAAATTTTAATTGTCCTTTCTTTCTGATAGGTGGATCCTCATCTTGAAGAAGCTTACAGTTATGGTAGTGAAATCAGATGAAATTTTGAAGAGTATTTATGCATTGTTTATTCAAGATTATAAGTCTAATCAATAGTGAGAGCCTATTTCACTTCAGAAAGTTGGAAAGTAATTAGCTTTGAGTTTGTCAATGCCAGTGATTTCTATGCAGATCTGATGGATGCTTTGATTTTTTGTGAAGCTTCAGGTTTAGCATTTGTAACATCCGTGATGTTTCTTTTTAAAAACATGAATGAAGTCTTATATTGGTGATGTATATTTTAAATAGAAAAATAGCATAAATTTTCCAAGTTCAGTATTGTTTTTTATTCTTTTAGTATTCTGCATCTGATTTTTAAACATCATAAGTTATAATAGCTCATTTTTGTGAGTCCTATTTTTAAAATAGAAATCTTTTAATAACTTGTTTTGTTTGCTTTAAGTGCTGTGTTTGAAAATCATTACGTAGTTTTAATTCATGTGGTTGAACATTGCAGAAATAGTGTTTGAAATTAAATATTACATTAAGTATTGTCTGAAATACTTTATATTTACAAGAGCAATTTATTTCATTATCTGGCTTTATGTTGTGTTATTTATTATGCAGCACATATAACTATAAAAAATTATGTGGTTTGCTATGGTCTCTTCAAACGACAGTATTTGAACCAAAACAAGTGAAATAACAATAATAATGATGCATTTTTAATTGTAAAATAATTTGTTCTTATAATATAAAAAGTTTTTGTTTTACTGTGAAATAATATATGTCTTATAATATAGATTCTATTACATTGTGAAACAATTATGAATACCTTATAAAAAAGTGGTAGCACCCTCATATTTGATTTGTATAGATGTTTATTTTAAGGTTCATAATTTATGTGAAAATTTAAATACATCTGATCCTTTTGGTCTTTAAACATTTCTATAGATTGCTTATGTTTTTAATGCTTAGAGCATTAACCTCTGAAAGACACTTCGTATTAATTCTGGTATTGTTTTAGTTAATAGTTTGCTCTGCTATCACAGATTTATACATTTTATTAGAAGTTAGAGGCAAATATCCTTTCATAATCCAAATACTTTTGACATTACTGAAGATTAGAAAGGTGACATGCAAATTTTAAAATAACTGTTACATGTAAATTCAGTGGGATTTCATTCTTTTATATATTGCTAATGCATTAATTTTATTTCATAAATGAACAATTTTACAGTGAAGCATTAAGCCATTATTTAGTTATTATTTTACAACATCAGACCAATTATAAAAAATGAAATGTTATTAAAATGAATTACTGACATTGGTAAAGTTTTACCCTTGTTTATTTTATTATTATTATTATTATTTTTTATTTTTGAAATGGTAAAAATAAAGTCATCCCTTTCTTGGAATTTACGAAAAAGATGTATTGTCATTGCATTAAACTTTTTCATAGCTTGGAGGGTGAACATTTTACTGAAACATTATTCATTTCTTTTTTTATTGACAGTATCAAGCCAGCTCTGAAAATTATGAATTATGATTAAAATGAGTTATTGCTAAAATGTTACTTTTTTTTTTTTTGGTAATGTTTAAAACTAAATTTTTTCAGTCTTGTTTACTTATACATAGTCATTTTCTGTGTTCCCTAGGCTGTTAGTTATAATGTAAATATAATTCAGTTTTTTTGCTTTTGTAATTTATTTCTTTTGATTTGCTCTTGAGGCTGTACTTTTCACATTACGGTTGCATATGCTAATGCACATTCTTGTTTCATTTGGATTATAATGGTGACCTTCTAATGCTCTTTCTTCAGGAAGATATAAGGTTGAAAATGATGATGTTTATAGAGTTAATAACTTCAAATTTGCATATTATGTAAAAGTATGTAAATATTCTTAAACTGTAACAGCAGATGTAAATGGGATCCATAAGTGATGTGATATTATTAATATTTTATTTTTAATTTGATATGTTCTAGAATTTATTACTTTAGTTTGAAAATTAAGAGAAATTTATTATAAATATAGATAGCAAACATTAAATTTTATCAAACTCAATGAAATAAATCAAAATAGTTGATTGTCTTAAATAATTATTAATCAAAAACAGATCCAAAGAATCAATAGAAAAAAAAAAAAAAAAAATAGACCTTCAAAAAAAAAAAGGGGGGCGGGGAGATAATTGTAGCCTGGATCTAATAAATTTCTTTGACAACTTTACTTAGGATTGAACATTAAAATAATTCAATATGCAAATAAACATATGTAGAATTTTACAGTTGATATACACTTTTTTATCAGTTTCATGTGTCATTAAAAATGTTGATGTTTAGTGGGAATATTTTTATAAGTATTTATAAATGGCATTCTTTCTGTTGTTCATATCATTTAATGTAAATTTGCATGTTGTGTTGCATATCAACTTCAAAATGTATAAAATGCCAGTGTCTTGTAAATCAGAGTCTTCCTGCCAGAATATTACATTTATATTTTTACACTGTAAATAGTAATCTGTAGTATTAAGTAAATTTGATTAATTTTTAAAGCTACTTGTGTGTTTATTTTTCATATTATATCTAGTTTACTCTTTGTATGTTAAAAAGCTTTTTTGGTTGTATTTTCTTTAAAATGTTTTTCACCCTTGATAGCCTTAAATTTAATTATCTATATTGTTTTTAATTGTAGTATTAATACTTTTTAAAAGTTGTATATTATGTGTGTTCTAGTCTTTTGTTGTATTTATCAGATTGGTTTTTGGTTTTCTTTTTGTATTAAATCAAATGTGTGGAAATGACATATTATAGTTTTCATAATACTGTATTCCTTTCTGATGGGGAATTTAAAATCATATTCATTTTCTGTTACATCATTTACTTTTATGTGAATCATTGTGTAATCAGGATTTTTTTTTAATGTATTGAATCATTTAAGACATTTCAAGAAATTTTATCGAACAGTGAGTGCAGTTAATAATTTCTTAAAGAAGTTTCTTTGTCAGCTGCATGTTAGCTGCTCAGTTGCAGAACTGTTTTTTTTTTTCCCCAAGAAAATTCATTTTGATAATAAAACAATGCTAGTATCTGGTTAAAAATACTAAGTAAAATTTACATTCTGCCTTTTTGCCCCCCCCCCTTGAGTAATCACATTATTTCTGTTATTTTTCATTGTTCTGCATACATTATTTATTTGAAATTTCAAATAATTCTTTTATGAATATTAACCCTTCTTAAATCCCTTTAAAAGATAAAGAAGCAGGCAATATATATCATATTGAAATTTAGTGCATTTTGCCTTATATGTAAATTTTTAAAATCTACTTTCCACGCTTAACCTTTTAAGTATTATGAAAATAAGAGAAAGGGTATGTATTAGTTTCACATTATTTTATGGTCTAATGTATTATGTATGTAGGTATATAGGTATATATATATATATATATATATATATATACACACACACCATATTAGTTTTACTTTATATATAATAAATAATGAAACTAACAACTTTAGTTTTACACTTTTACATGTTTATAATTTTTCAAAAATTATAAACATGTAAAAAACACAAACTGTAATAAAATTTGCCTTGATGAAACAATTTTTATATTTAGTACAGAGGTATGAAGCAAATTATGTAAATTTTTAGTCAGCACCCTTCTTTACATAGATAGGGAAATTTCCATGTTCAAAATTGTATGTTGCATTAGTGCCATCGTGAGGTTGACTTCATTTTAATGCTATTTGATAAATATTCAATTTTAATTGAAAAAAGAGTTTAATAATCAACTATGCAATATTTATGCATTTCTGAAAAAATTTAATTTCAAAGAGAATTTACTTGTAGTTTTATTCAGCATGTGTTCAAATGTTATGTACATTTTTTAAAAAAATAATTTGTCTAATTGTTCTGCACATAATCTAGTGTATGTTCTTCTTTCTTATGAATACTGTTTGATTATTAGTTCATTAAATTGTATTCACCATGTTTTTAATCAGAGTTTAGAAATATAATTCAATAAATAACTGCTGTGACATAGTTATATTCAGTAAAATTATCTTAATGTAAGTTCATAAGCTAGTCATTTATTATGAGTATTTTCTGTTATGCTTTTTTAATATTCATGCTTTTCTCAAAATGAAGCGTGATATTATATGATTAAAAAAAGTGTATTTTAGTGCCAAATAATAATAACACTTGTGTTAAATGTTAATAATTGTTAAAACGACTCTTTAATGAAACTCTACTGTTATTATTTAATATTATGCTATGAAAATTCACTTTTATAATATATCCATCTATTGTTGTTTAAAAAAAAAACAATAAATTTGTTTTTGTGTTAGTGTTAAATTTTTATTACATTTCTCTTTAAAGTTGCAAATTTTCATTGTATGCATATGGGGCAAACCTAATTCTAACATATTGCATAAAATTATATGTAAAATATTTAGAGATTCAGTATAACATAAAAATCCAGTTTTCAAGGTGTCACTGCATATTATTTATTTGGAAGAGCATTAGAAGTTACAAATTCCTAGTTTTATTGCGCAGGAATATGTAATTTTTGCATTAAAAAAATGCACATTTCACAAAAATAATTAGTAAACAATTTTGCATTTACTTGAAAAATAAATTGATTCATTAATAAGAAAAATAAATCACTGTTTATTGAACCTACTATAATCAAATGAGTTATTGCAATAATATGAAAAAAAAATAATTGAAAGTTTATGTTGCTGCTGTTTCCAATGGCTGGATACTTATTACATAATGTATTCAATGGGAATGCTCCATCTCATTAATCATTTAGCCATTCTTTTACTTTGCCCAGGGTGCACTACAGGGGATGATCGAATTACACCCACAAGAAAGTGGAAGCTTCGTCCCATGGAGAACATTTTCTTACTATTTTTCAACTCAGGAGGATTTTTGATTCGACTGTATTTAATGCTCCATGCTGCAAAGGACTATGCATTTGCAAATATCCATCCCTTCTCAAGACCTGCTTAATCCCTGGGTTATGATAACTGGCTCCCTTGCCACCATGCCTGAAGAACAATAAAAACATTTAACATTTTTGTGATCTCAATATTCTCTTCGTTGAATTGTGTTTTTCAGTGTGTAAGTATGAGATCTTTAATTTTAGAAATTTACATATAATTTTGGAGGCAGGTTATTATGCCATTTTTAGCCATCCATGCTATTTAAGGGACTTTGAAAAATCTGAATAGCTGCCTTTACAAAGTTTTTGTGATAGAATATCACTATTTTAAGAATCATTATGCCATGAATGCGAATGTCTTAACTGACCCCTGTAGGATATTGTTTGAGAAAATGACTGTATCTGTCAAGGAGTTTGTCTTTTGGAATAATTAGTTGTTTGCATGTCCAGCTGCTTAAAATAGCTATTATTAAGAGAAAAATAACGTAATGATTTTACTGAGTTTGACTAATTTAATTTCACGAGTCCAGCTAGTAATTAGTAATAATACAGATGATACAGTGCAATTATATCACATAATTTATTGTTCATTTACAGTCAGATTAAATTTGAAAGGAAAATTACAAACTGGCACATGAAAAACAAGTATATTTTAGTATTGATGTAGTGTGCAATCTACCACCACTTATTTATTTATTTTTTAGATGGCAATTCTAAAACTGGGTGTTTTAATCATTTCTTTTTCCTTTTATGGTGCATTCAAATATGAAAGCTATATGGTAGAATTATTATAATTGAATTAATGGATGTCCACCGTACTTCTGCGAACATTTGCGGTGTAGTGTAGAATCTTTAGCTTCAGAATCACCCAACATGACTGAATTGTTTCAGGATGGACAAAGATCTTTCACTTGTTTATGGTTTGATAGTATCCTTATCAGCCAACCCCTTATGAGAAGGCTATTTGATACTCATGATAATTGAGTCAGATATTATTTCCCGCTTGATTATGGGTAGTAACACCGCGGTATCTCTTCTTTCAGTTGTCAAAAAGTGTGTTCCTAGTTTATCATTTCAACATATTAAACCAAATACCCAGGGTCCTTCTGTTTGTTTTGCCATAGTTTGTCATCTAAGAAAGAAAGAAATAACTAAAAGCAATAGATTACATTCTACCATCAATATCAATGTTTTACTTTGAGTAGTGACATTGGATTTCTGCTAAATCTCTGAGTTTTCTGATTAAACCTGAAACATAATTATCCTATACTTTGCTAAGTGGCAATGCATTTTTTTTAAATATATCATTGAGTTTGTTAATCAAAATGTCACTAAATTTGCACAAAATATGAAATTAGTAATTAAAAAAAGACAAATTCAAAATGGCTTTTATGTTTACATACTAGAATGAAGGACTATGTGTGTGGAAATTTTGGAGGCAGGATATTATGCCATTTTTCTCTATGCAAGGCACATGTGTATATATGTGCACTGCACTAAAAAAAATATAGGGGGGGGGGCGGACGACAGTTCCATATCTCCCATTCTGCTGGGCTGATTGACAAAATTCAAGGTGCAATTTACATGTCTGGAAAGCGTAACTTAGTATGTATGTTAGATTTATATATAGCATTGTACTAATGCTATATCTAATGCATTTATTTTAACACAAAATCGGACTTTATCTGAAATGACATGCCAATTTTTTTTCCATATTTCGATTCTACGACTCAAATTATGCCTAAATATTAAATTTTGTAAAATTTGGTGTGAAACGGAGAAATTAAAAAATTTATTTTCTTGCATTTTTTTCAGTTTGCACCAAGAATAATTTACTTGGAAAAATTTTTAATTTATAGCAACCTATTTTCATTGTATACGAGCCGAGAAAAAGATCACCATTCATACTTTCAAATGATTTTAATAAAGTGCGTAACCCACATTTTCGTTATAATCGCTCATAATTCTAAGCTAAATTTCAAAATTGTATTAAAATGTAAATTTGTGTATATCTTAGGAAATTTTGAATAAAAACTCTTAATTTTTTTGCAGGTTTGTTTAGAAATACATCAACTTTAAGATGAGGTTAAAATTTGATAGGTTATAATTGAAAATTTTTTTCAAACAATTTATAAAAATTATTTAAAAATACAAATTTTAAAAATAAATCATAAAAAATGGGCGAATTTTATTTGGGATGAACCTAAATTTCGAAATGTAAAAGGGAGAATCAAATAAGTTTAATAAAAAAAGATATATTAAAAAATATTTGAGAACTAAAATTTTGAGAGCTAATTTTTTAAAAACTACTGATGAGATTTTTACAAAGTGTGGCACTTTGGAATAATTTGAGTTGTAAAATCAAAATATGGAAAAAAGTTGGCATGTCATTTCAGAAAAAGTCCGATTTTGTGTTAAAATACCTACATTAGAACAATGTTACATATAAATCTAATATATATATACTAAGTCGTGCTTTCAAAACATGAAAATTGCAATTTGAATTTTGTCAGTCGGCCCGTAGAGCGGGAGATACAGAACTGTCCCATTTTTTTGTGCGTGTGTGCTGTGTACATACTGATTCTTTAAATAATTCATTTAATAAAAGAGATTTGAAAAAAAAAAAAAAAAAAAAAAAAGTATTTTAGAGGTATTCCAATGGTATTTCCAATAATAAGAGAATTAAAAGAATCATCTTGAAATACCTCCTTTTGACTAATTTTTGTTAAAAAAAAGTTTACAAACAATATTTTACATGTAATCATCAATACTGACAATTTCACGTCTGTTTTGTAAATGCAAAAATTATGTATCTCTACTTAATCATTCCAGGTTTATGGCTGGTCTTCAAAATCAAGTGACAAAATGGGCATCAAACATACTGTTGTTCAAAATTTGATGCCTCTAAGTACCGTCGTTTTATCTTAATGCGAGAAACATACATTTATGCAGATTCTTCATTATTTAATTTCTTTAAATATAATACAGGTCTGTAATATATGGTGGCAACAGTTTGAAAAGTAAACTGACATTTAAAGGTTTCAATGCAAGATGCGAAAACGAAATTAATAGCCCTTCTGGGCTGATGCCCTTTGGGCTAAAAAAGTTCCATTATTTCATTCACACAGCGTTATCTGAGGATCCAACTTAATGTTGAACTATGAAGATTGGACCAATGTTTCTTTATTTCATCAAACATCATGCGTGAGATTCAACTGTAGTTTGATTTTTGTTTAATTAGTAGTTCAATTTTAAGAAGTGTTTCAAGCCTATCAGTCTAATCTGGTGCCTTTTTAAAGTTTTTCCAGTTATTACATCATATTATTTGAGTACTATTATATTTTTGTTTCTTTGAACAGGTTCTATTTCTAATATTTTTAATAATATTCAGAATCTTTTAATAATATTCGGAATCTATCATCAATAATTGGCCATTTTGTTGGTTTTCTAAATCTGCAATCACCAATGACTTTGTAGGGTTTATATTTATTTTAAGTTTAAACTATCTTTCCTGTCAAGCCTTACTTTCCCCTCGAATTGCCAATGCTAGAGTATGTAAATTTTAGTAGAACGCGCAAGGATTCAAATTGTCAGCGGAAGTAATCTGAGTTAAATAGAAGGGAAACAAGTTCGAAAAGTGTGCTTTCTTGCTTCACGAGCGTGGAGGTGGCTAGTTAGAAATTGAAGAACCACGCGTTTCGGCCTGTGTGCTTGCCTCGGCAAGATTGTTAATCTTTTCAACGTAATATTCAGAAGTTTGCTGAATTATCAGCGGTATCTTAGAACGCGGTGAGGTTAGTTACGTTTAGAGAGCCTCGTAGTTAGTCACTTGTTATTATTCTTTTTTAGTTTCTTATTTTTATTTTACCGCCGGGTCGGCGTAGTTTGTGAGCGTCAAGAGCACGCATTGTAATTTCTAAAGTTGAATAAAAAGGGATTTAAACCCTTCTCAAGACTTTGTCTACTTTCCAGTTCTTCAGCAGTCACCACTATTGTTGCGTGCAGGTTGGAAGCGCGCAACATTACATTGGCGCCCGAACACTTGTCGAACTGAAATGGCCGAAAATTGGATGAAAGTTGCTGGACAACAACAAGAAATGGCAAGCCAATTGGAAGGATTTGGATACCTGGTCCAGACGATGAGAGCGTCAATCAAGCCAAACGTCAATTTCGACGGAAAAAATTCGGTGGCGATATTTCTAGAAGGCCTAGAAAATCCCTGTGCCTGAAGACAAAAAGTTGCCATCGCCACATCTGCACTAAGAGGACAGGCCGCGCTATGGTGGAAAGAATATAGGCAAATTTTTATTAGGGGAATTCGGAGGCCAGACATATACATTTGAAAATTTCAAAAAATCGTTATTAAAGGCCTTCCCCATAGTGAAAGATCGAGCAAGGCTAGAAGCCGAACTATATAGTTTTTATCAACGGAATATAGAAGAGTTGACGGACTTTATTCTGCGAAAAATTAAGCTGACGGATATGCTGTATGGGAAGAAACCCGACGCGGAGATTATTGAAATAATCTTACCAAGATTGTTACCTGCTGTTCAAGACTACTTCGAAATTAGAAACCCAAGCACATTGCAGGAGCTCTTCGAATTGGCGGTCAAGTTTCAAAATCGCAGAATAGCGGAAAAAGCTAGAGGGAGAGGGGCATCGTATTCTCAAAGTATCCGAAGGCAATCTTCAAATGAGCAACCAGAAATGCAAACCGCTCTTATGGGGGAAAGAGCTATCAAGCTAACTCATCGAAAGCTCGAAGGTCAAGGCCCAAAAAGGAAATTTGAAAACAACCGTCCGCGTACCCAGAAGGCAGAAGTTGAAAGGAAAGCTTTAAACGAGTAGAGGGGCCTGTGAAAGCGAGGGTCCAGACCCCGGAAGTTTTGAAAAAAAACCCTCAAGAAGACACTTAAATACGGTCATCGTAAAGAACTCACAGCTACCAATTATACAAGTCCTGGTTGGCGATGTACCAGTAGAAGCCCTCATCGATACAGGAGCAGAAGGTAATTTTATGAGTGAATTTTTTTTTTAAGAAGAATTTTATAGGTTACGATTATTTAAAAATAAAAACACAGAAATCATAGCAGCGCAAGGACAAACTTGTCATTGTATTGGAAAACTATCATTAAAAATTCAAGTTCAAAACGAAAGCCTTAAAGTATTAATTTTTGTAGTAAAAAATTGCAAAATCCACTTATTTTAGGTATGGAGTTTTTAAAGGGCCGCGAAGGGCCAAATTGAATTTTCAGGAAAGTTCTATCGTGCTGGAGATGGACCGGAGGGTGGTGGAACCAGTGGAACAACCGCAAGTTGACCTTAGCCATTTGAATGACCATGAAAGTCAAGCCATCCAGCAAGTGGTGAGTACTTTTTTTCAAACTTGTTTTCAGAAACGGCCTGGTAGCTGTCAAATAGTTACGCATGAGATACAGTTAACTGCCGACGACAAACCCTGTAGGACTAAACCTTACCGCTATGATAAACAAAAGACAAATCATCGAAGAACATATTCAGGAAATGTTAAAGAACAAAATAATAACGCCCATAAATAGTGAGTACGCGAGTCCAGTCGTACTATGTAGGAAAAAGAACGAGTTTTCCTTCCTCCTTCGGATAAAAGGGCTTGGAGGTTTGCTATCGATTACAGAAAACTTAATAGTATTACTAAATTCCCAGTTTACCCTTTGCCGGTTATAGAGGAAATTATTAGAAAGATTAAATCTACAAGATACATGTCTACTTTGGACTTAACGTCTGGCTACTATCAAATAGCTATGAGACCCGAAGACATACATACTTATGCAACGCATGCGTTGTATACACAAGTAGCTAAATCTGTCCTAGGAAAACAATTTATATTAATATATCTAGAAGAAGTTTTTAAATTATTAAAAGAGGCCGGTCTTACAATTAACGCCTCAAAATGCAAGTTCGCAACTAAAGAACTTAAATATCTCGGTTATAAAATTTCGCAAAAGGGTATAGAAACGCAAGATTCAAAAATAAAAGCCATCAAGAATTTCCCACCCGCCCAACACCGCCAAGAAATTCTTTCCTTGGGTTATGTTCTTATTATCGGTCATTCATAAAAGATTTTGCTAATATTGTTGAACCCTTGTTAGTAATTAAAAGAAAAGAAAAGTAAATTTCACGTGGACAGCGGAAGCAAATACCGCTTTCGAAAGGTTAAAAGAAGCGCTTATCAATGCCCCTGTTTTGAAATTCCCGGAGGGGGACGAAAACCTGGAAATTGCAGCAGATGCGTCGGACTATGCTGTGGGTGCGGTTCTTATGCAAAATAGCCATCCTTTGGCATTTTTTTAGTAAAACGTTGAATCATACACAAAGGAATTATACAGCTACAGAGAGAGAAACATTAGCCGTCAAAGCGCCAGTAACAGTCTTTTCGGATCATGCGGCTGTTGGTAGACTTTACTCGGGGAAAAACCTAACGCCCAGGTTAATAAGATGGGCTTTAAAACTCCAAGAATATAATCTCATAATCAAATATAAACCGGGTAAGGAAAACAATGTAGCTGACGCACTTTCTCGTATAAAACTGGACGATGAAGGCAATGAACTTAAATGCGCTGTGTTGACTTCAAAAATTTTAGATTCTAGAGATACAATTATTGCTGAATTGAAAGCTGATCCTGAATTTGGAAGTATCTATGCATATTTGAAAGACCCCGAAAGCTTTGAGCACACAGATATCGATGCGATAAGAAATAGAGCAGAAAACTATGAAATAATAGATAATTTATTATTTTATACGAAAACAACAAACGAAAATCTCGAGTACAAACCAGTCATCCCAGCCTCGCTTCGATTAAGCATTTTGAAGGAATTACACGACGCGAAAACAGCGGGTCATTTAGGGGTCAGAAAGACTTTAAAAAGGGTACGCGAGGCGGTATATTTCCCGCAATTATACAAAATAGTAACTGCGTATGTCAGGTCCTGCAATCAATGTCAGTTAATAAATGATATTAATTACAGCCCGGCCGGGTACTTAAATAGCATTCGCGCTACATTTCCGAATGAAATTTTAGGCATAGATCTTCTTGGTCCCTTTCCCCCAGAGTGAGTTAAATAAAAATCGTTTTCTTTTAGTAATTGTAGATCATTTTTCAAAATGGACAGAAATTGTTCCACTTAAACGCGCGTCAGCCAAAACAGTCGCAGATGCATTCTTACACAGATACATTTTAAAATACGGTGCACCGATAAAAGTCATTAGCGATAACGGTAAACAATTCGTTAGCCAAATATTTGAAAACATATGCACTGGACTTGGCATACGCCATATCAAAATGGTTCCGTATAGACCACAGGCAAACATAGCAGAAAGAGTTAATAAAAACATTGTAAAAATAATTCGCAGTTATGTTAGCACACATCACAAGCGCTGGGATGGCTACATAAATGAATTAGCTTATGCTTTAAGAACGGCAAATCACGATACTACGGGAAAAACCCCAGCAGAATTATTTTTAGGACGAAAGTTAATTACGCCATTAGATAAATTATTCTTTGTGCAACAAAGAGAGCAAGAATTTAAACAGAAAGATGTGCAAAAAACACTTATTGACCAGGCGGTTAAAAGCTCGGATACGGCAAGAAATAGGACAAAAGTTATATTATGATAGAAAACGCCGTGAAGCAGATTTTAAAGTTGGGGATAAAGTATTGAAGCGGAAATTTTCTTTATCAAGTGCCCCAGACAATTTTACTGCAAAGTTAGCTCCAAAATTTGAAGGCCCCTATGTAATTCAGGAAATCAAAGGGAGTCGTATTGTACCTTAAGAACGAGAGAGGGGAAATCTGTAAAGCAAGTCCCGACCAGGTGAAAAAATATTATAATCCAAATGATTTTGAAATCCTTAAAAGTTTCTTGCAGGACTCAAGCGTAAAAGAAGTAGAAGGTCCAGAATAACGTCACCCGTTCCACCACCCAAGAAGCAGAGAACTGAAGAGAACCTAGCCCTTCTACAAGTCCATGCGACGGTACCGAAAAGAAGAAATGAAAACTTTCAGACTCCAGCATTTAAGAAATACAAGAAAGCAAAGCCATCCGCCGCGTAAAGAAACCTTTGGTAAAGAGGAAAACACCACCTTACAACGTATCGCAGTAGAAATTCTACATCGAGGAGAAACGCTTCCAGGGCCAGAGAGTCAGGTGCAAACAAGGCCGCCGTTCCGAGAACTGAAAAGACAGCAGGAGGAACGAAAAGACCACCAACAACAGAAGAAATTCAAGAAGGACTCCAGACCGGAGGACGTCAAGACCAGCCGTCCAGGGGCAAAACGGAAAAGACAGCAACCCGACGACTACCACTCCAAGAGGCCAGCATGCAGAGGGCGAAAAAGAAAAAGCAACGTGGACGACACTCGAGGACCCTAAGGAGACGATTGACGTCCATGAAACCTATAACGTGGGAAGCAAGTTCTGCCAGAAAGAATGACGGAGTTTTCAATCATCGAAAACTCAAAGATAAGTTAAAATCTTCTATAAAATTTTTTTCTTTTGTTCCGAAACTTCTCCATTTCACTATACGGCTTGAGACGAGCCCAAGCTGTTGTGAAGGTCGCTAGGAAAATGATGGTAGAGGCATCCTGTGGCACAAACTCCTTCGCAGATTCCCAGGAAATGGCAGCCACCTCAGGCGTGGGAAGAAAGACATCTTTGATCTAAAAAATAGAAGAGTCATGAGATAACAGTTCAAAATAGTCATAAGTTAACAGTTTGAAACACATTGAGTTTACAGATTAATAAAATCGGTAAGGAAACTTACTTTTTTAGTAGAATCCGCCAACATCTTATTGAAGTCTGGCACCGTGTGGACATAGGTCAGTTGGGCTTTGTTCACGTTCATACCCCATCTGAGTGAAAAAAAGCTATCATAAATCACAACGAATTAAAAATATTTATAAAAATTAAGTACAAAAGAAATCATCTTACCTGCCCCAGAAACTGTTCAGGGCCAACTTGGCGACTTGTCGACGCCCAGGGTTTTTCGATATTTTTTCGGCCTCCAACTTGACGCCCTCTCTTTCTTCATACTGGCGAATGTACTTCAGTCTGGCTTCTTCCGTCACACACTCCGAAGGCCATCCGCTACTTTCCTGCTTGATCTTCAGAAACAGATCAATGTATGATCTGAAACAGAGAAGTAGACGATGCCTGGAAATGGTACACTTCGTAAATCTAGAAAATAAAAAATAAATGTCAGTTATAAAAAATTTTTAAAAGTAACCTCTGAAACTAAATAAAGATTAAAATAATCTTTGAGTACTTACATGTGTGACGCGGTACCTTTCTTTTTCGCCAGTTTGACTTCCTTCCTCCGTTACCCACGTTCCGACAAGAGCTCGCTCGTCGTCTGTGTGGGTACACGGAGTCTGCAGTTGAAGAAGGGCGCAAGTCCGACACAGGGGGAACATCAGCTTCTTCCGGCACCGATAGGGCAGTACCGGAAGATACAGATTCCGTGGAGGAATCACTCGGCATTGGATAATTCCAAAATAATCTTCCACATCTCCAAAGCTTTCCGTGATGATTGTTGGATGTCCCACAGGGTAGACGAAATACTTGTTCACCTGTGAATGAAAACAAAAAAAAGTCAGAAAAAACACATCATAAAAATATACAGAAAATTTAGAAACGTTTAAGTAAACATTTTTAAAATAATAAAAAGTACGAACCCATGGATAGAGTGAGGTAAAATCCACATATTTTGCGTCTCCCTCGTGGAACAATTTGAGGGCATTGGTCCTCCAAAAAACGACTCGCGAGGATTGAGTCGATCCCTCAGATGGTGTTGATCCAGGAAAGCTTGGAGATCTGGATTTTCCTCCTTCTCTCTTTGAAATTCATGCTCCCACATTTCGATGACGTGGAAACCCTGGGTGCGAAGCTTTCTTGTCGTCTCTTCTGTCTTTTCTCTTAACGTTGCCATGGAAACCCCTTTCAGTGGATGTATGATATCACCATCGTAACACGAACTACATCCGTGAAAGAAACAGCCCTAAAATAATACAAATATATATTAATAGTCTTTAAACATTAAAAGTGTAAAATCATTAAAAAGAATCACATATAGAAAAGGAATGGTTTATTTTTCTTACCTGAAACTGATAGACGGTTTGTGTTTCTTGGCAGAATCCGTCTACCGAGATTCCGGCGACTCTGTGCTCTCCGGAACCGTTCAAACGCATGTTGAATCTGTAGGCCTTCCGAAGCAGCAACAAAGTCCAACCATCGGATCGAATCAGGGCTGTAATTCGTTGAGTTGATGTAGCCGTGTGTAGGCACCATGGCAATCGTGTCGGGTTGAATGTGGCCACTCCGATACGTTGCCATACAGGCTGACGCGATGGTCACGTATCTGAAAAGACAAAAATAAGAACGATTTAATGAACTGTAAATATGATTATTATTGCATAAGAAAATGAGAAAATGACTTACTGGAATGGATCCACATTCGCCACATCCAAAAACTGGGCTCGAAACTCCAGGCAGCAACGGCGAAGAATGTCCACGTCCGATCTATTAAAAGAAAAAATGTTAAAAATACGAAACATAAAATATAATAAAACAAAATATTAAATAAATAAGAAAAAGTAGGGGAAAAATATACCTGCAATAGGCCAGCATCTCTTCTTGAAAGTTAAACACGTCCCCCTTGTGTGCTTCATGCCAGGACAGAAATGCTTGTCGGGCTGAAGTGCTCATGGTATCCGGGCAGTAGTACCGGGCCTCAGGCAGCGGTCCGACATAACTCTGGTTTTCTCGCGAGTTAAAGAGATGGGGAAAGTATCCCTTTTTTAATTCGGTGAGACCGAAGCATCCCGGTAGTTTGGCCAACGCCATCGGTAGAAAATTTAACGAGTCTATGACCCGAATGTTCAGACTAGGGTGTCTTACACTCATGATCATAGACCCGTTAGGGATCACCTCCGGCGCTGTGCCTTGCTCCAGGAGCCAGGCCATCACGAACTGACCGTCGAACCTGTAAGTAAAAAAAAATATGAATAATATTGAAAAAATAGTCGTACTTAAAAAGCATGCAAACTATGGTATTTTTAACTTACCCTTTCATGTTATGAGCCACGGCGGTGAAGCCCTTGTGCTCTGTGGAGAACAGCCAGGCGCAGAAATCTTGGCATGCCGTGTATCCCGGAAACACTTTTTCTGTGCCGTCGGCATACTGAGCCACCGCGAAATTTACGAGATGTTCCCCCGAAGACTGGTCCGTTTCAAAGTCAAAAAAGATGAACTTGTCATCGGACTTCTTCGGGAGCAACACGTCGCAAATAACAACGGTGCTCAGCAGCCACGACAAACTGGCCTGCAAGACGGACATTTGGTGGTTTCCGCACTTGTGCAGCTCTTTAGGGCAATCGCGCCTCCGGAATCACTTGGCAGCATTCCCTGCACTGGTATACCTGTAACGACATTTATTAATTTTTTTAAACAACAACAATTTCAAAAAAAAAATGCATGATAAATAACTTTGTTAAGATCATTAAATTTTCAAAAAACACTTACCTATCGCAAAGTGAAAAATCTTGATTTCCAGTCAGGGCTTTGTGTGCTGTATAACAGACATCAGAGCGGCAGAGACGGTCACAATCCTGGCATCGCTGAGGTTGGGCATCCATCGCTGAGGCATCGTAGTGCGCATCATGGAGCCACAAATTTATCCGTTGTGTCCTCTCTCTTCCTTTATAGACCACCTAAAACACAGACAAAAATTTTCTCTTAAATTCCAAAAATCAAACCCTTTTAGATATATTTTTAACATCGAACTGCCTAAAGTTAATCATCTAAAAATTACTTGTGCATTAAGCATCTAAACAAATTACATGCATAATCATCTGAAAATTCCTTGTGCATTTAATTTTAACATCAAAACGAATTGCATATAAAAATAATCTAAAGAAGTTAATGTAACCTAAAAGTAAAAATTTTCACAAGTGATATTTTTAACATCTAAACAGAAAAACTTTTCCCTAAATCGAATAATCTTAAACTTTCGATTTTATACATCCTAAATTTTGAATATCTAAACAAATTTCCTACATGCATGCATTTTATGCGTGAATATGCATAAAATATAATCTTAAAGGTTGAAGTAGTCTAAAAATTCACTAGGCATTTTTATAAGGCATATTTTTAACGTCTAAAGAAAGACCATTCATACATAAAATACAAAAGAATCTAAAAATTAAACCATGCGTTTTTACAAGTTATTTTTTTTAACATCAAAGCTAATTGCTTACATGCACAAAATATAAAGTTAATCTAACAATTTATAAAAAGAAAACATTCAGTTTCCCCCATTATATTTTTAACGTAGAAACTAATTAAAAAAGTTAAAGTTCTCTAAGAATAAAAATTCACCATGCGTTCAGTTTTAAAAGTTCTATTTTTAACATCGAAACGAATTGCGTGCATAAAAGTTAAAGTATTCTAAACATAAAAATATTTACAAGTGAAAGTTTTAACGAATTGCATATATAAAATTAATCTAGCAATTTAAAGTAAACTAAAATCTCACTATGCATTCAATTTTTATAAGGTATATTTTTTAACATCAAAGCGAACTGCATACATTCATGCATAAAATAGAATCTTAAAATTTAGAGTAATTCAAAAATTCACCATGCATTTTTGTAAGACATATTTTTAGCGTCTAAAGAAATGCATGCATAAAATATAAATTTTATCTTAAATGTAAAATTAATCTAAAATTTTTTCAAGTTATGTTTTTAGCATCTAAATAAATTTCATACATAAAAATAATCTAAAAAAATTTAACACAATCTAGAAAATTCACCATGTATTTATTTTCAAGTTATATTTTTTTAACGTGGAAACGAACTGCATACATGCATAAAGTTAATCTAATAAAAACAGAAATATCTTGAGATAAAATATTGACTTACTCGGTTCAAGTTTTCCGAAGAAAAGACGACAATTTGCACATCCAAGTGGTCTTCAAATATGGCGATTTCTGAAAACGTGCAGGGGCCTAGAGGCACATTCGCAGCCATATGAAGTTCTAATAATTCCTTTGCACGTTTCACGAGGGCTGGCCGACAACACTTTTGCATGGCTTTGATGGCAGTCGTATCCATATGTAAATGGGCCAAAGCATAAACAATCGCTTTAGCACAGCACAGTCCTTCGTCGTCATAGGGAATAGACAAAATAGACTGTTTTCTCAGTCTGTCCATGGAAATATTGATGACTTTCCTGTTTCCACCGGCACCTACAGGTCGTCTGATGGTGATCACGTCCACCGAAAATCCTGTATCCAGCTCTATTTTGTCTTTGGACTGCAGCACTTTCATGACGGCAGCCAGAATCTTTTCAACTGTTCAAAGTCGAAACTTCCATCAAGGGATGTGCTGATCGGCTTGTCCAACCCTTCTGCTTGGATACAAAATCGGATGAGGTCCGATGGGATTTCAAATCAGCTGTTGTCCGGCGAATGAGCTGTTCAAAAATAATTCCCGGACGGTGTCAGGAATTCGGACCATCGGGATGCCTTGCACGCCTTCAGAGGCAAGTCCGTTCCGATGTCCACACAATGGCCGTGGAAAGTAATTTTCCTCGGCTTGATATTTATGGTTCCGTCGACGAGACTTTTTCCGTAAGAACAATCGCCTCATCGATCTGAAACATAAAAATAAGTTTTCATTAAGAATCAAACATTTTCAAAATACATTATTTCAATAAATCATTTAAAAAAAAATATATACCGAACGTTCATCGGAACCAGCTATGTATACAGGCCCACGAGCTGATGAAGGAGAAGTCTAAAAAAAGTAAATAAATAAAAAATAAATACATTCATTTCTAGTACTAGAAAAATATTCTAAAAATTCTAATCGAATCATAACGAAACGAAAGTTTACCTCAAATCCGGAACCCACTTGATAATACAAGGGTAGATCCATAGGATTTTCCAGAAAAATCTGATCCACTTCATCGATTAACTATCAAAATAAAATAAAATACGTTAAATAAAAAGTGTGTAAAAACTTACATCGTCATCTGAGTCCAGAAAAGGAAAGTCAGGATCTTCAAACAGGACCTGGCAATTAAAAATTTTAATAAATAAAACATTCAAAATGAAATAAAATTCATGTTTAAAATAGTAATCTAGAAATTAGGTACAAGCGAAAAATACTTACATTAGATGCAGAATAAGTTCGTTTAGCAGACATCGTGTACAAGAAAACGAAATGGCGCAGGAAAATGGCAGAGTCAAAATGACGTTCACTCAGCAAGAATCAGAGTAGAAATGATGAAATCGTGAAAGCGAGCGAATTTATAGGCGATATACAATGAAAGAGAAACGCTGATTGGCTGAAATAAGATAGATATTGTTAGCGGAATGCTGATTGGTTGTTAAGATTGTATACGTTCGCCACGGCGGATGCAGAAAGCGTGAAGCGGTTTCGACAGGCTGCAACGTGAAAGAGATGACGTTTGCCTGTTTCCCCCAGCTTCGTGACGTCATGGTTGTTTTTCTACTCAACGCGATAATCTGACATTGCTTGAAAGGCCTCGCTGGCATAGTGGTTTGGGCAATCGCCTACCATACTAAAGGTGGCGGTTCGAATCCCGCTCGTGGAGTTATTTTTAAAATTCATTAAAAACAGATTAAAATATAATGGAATCAATCAAAATTAATTAAATAAATAATGACGTACTAAATAATTAAGATACTATTTAAAAGAGTAAATAAGTAAAATTAATGACTTACAAAATACTATTAATATTAATCACGTGTCAATTAATTAAAAATAATAAATTAAAAGAGATGTCATTCCAAACACGTGGTTCAATAGTTCGTTGCCACAAAAACCTAAAAATATATATTCGATGCCACAAAAAGTAAAAACTTTGAAAGATAAAATCGTTGCCACAGAATCAAAACGAAACTTGATGATGTCATTCCGTCTACGTCATTCCTTCCATCTGCGTCATTTCCGGTTGTCACGTGATCCAAGATGGCGGAGGTAACGCCCCTTTTCTGTGACGTCACTTCCGTCGGCTGAGTACCTGCGCTTACTACTACCATGGAAACTTTTAGACAATTATTTGGAATGACCATTGGGAAAACCAAGAGCAAAGTTTTCACCCAATAGCCAAAACCATTTCACTTACAGCATTACATTTAAAAAGTCTTTAAAAGAATTTCACATAGCTAAAACCAAGTACTCTGACTACAACAACAAAGAACCTTTTCGAACAACGTGGTAAAAGATTGCTAATATGGCCGACGGCATGCTGCTTTGTTGCCTCCTGATGTTATTTCGCACATGCGCAGTGAGGTACGGAGGGTGGATAGCTTTGGGATGGTTTGCCCCTTTAAAGTAAGCTTCAGGGATATACATATGTCTCTTCGGTCTGACGGAGCCACATTTGCCTCGGGGAACATTTACTTCTTCTCCTTAGAGATTCTTTGGTTCCACTTAAGCCATTAGTCAGCGCACTGCACCTTGAACGGAGATAAGGTAAGTATTATTATTATTTTCGAATATTACAATTTCACTCTCTCCATGTGTTTTTAAATAGAAATTTTAAACCTTACTTTTTACTTCATTTTACTTCCCCCAGGTGAGGGATCATTTTCATTTTGCGGAACTCTGCAGAGGTGCAGCTTATATAATGGATGCAACATCAATTTCAAGTCTGAAAATTTTCTACCCGTGGTCTTCCGTAACCTGAAGAGGTGTGACTCTCAATTCCTGATGCGAGCAGTGAGAAAATTCAAACAGGAAGAGCTTAAATGTATTCCGCTGAACTCGAAAAAATTCGTGTCTGTTTCTTTGGGTCATCTGCGATTTATTTTTGATTATTTGTAGTTTCTGAATGCTTCCAGAGACAAGCTCACCGCTAATTTGGAGCCACAATGATTTCAGCTGAGAGGAACTTATTTCCGAGAAAAGACAAATCTGATGTTTCAAAAAGGTGATCATAATTTCTGTATTGTATTTTTATATTTTATATAGGTTATTTTAAATATACGGTATTAAATAGTATATTGTTACTTTTTATATATAGGATATTTGTCTTCTTATTTGTTTGAGTCTTTCAGGTATCTACCCCTAAGAGTATCTAGAGTCGTTTGAAACATTTGATGAGCCGGAGCTTCCAGTTCTTTGGTGCCTTCTAAACTCATTTATAAGAGAGTGACATCAGCGACGATGATTACCACCATGCGAACAGAGTCCGGAAAGAACTTAAATTTCATCATCTTGGAGACTACCTTTATTTAAAGAAAGAGTGATGTTCTGCTCTTGGGCTGACATTTTTCAAAACTTCAGAAGGCTGGGCCTTGATTTCTACAAATTGGATCCAGCACATGTCTATAAATAAAAGCACCTGGCAAGGCCTGGCTTGATAAGTCGCTTTACGTATGTCCGGTATCCAATTGGAACTATTCATCGATCCTGATATGTATCTACTTAGAAACAGAGCATTCGAGATGGCATCGCTATGATCTCTCATCGCTTCAACCAAGATAGGATAATTATGACCCAACGAAGCCATCATCTTACATTATGCATTTGGATGCCAGTACCTTGTACAGGTAAGTATCCTTTCAAATATTTAAATTTAATACTTTGTCTTGTATTTACTTGTGATATTCATTATTTTCATTTTATGTTTTAGGTGAACCATGAGCCAAGTTTTACAAACCCATGACTTCCAGTGGCATGACGGACCTCTCAACTTCATGGAGATTGCTGACGATGCGGGAGAAGGAGGTTATCTTGTATCTTAGGGGTTGAAATTGAGTATCCAAACAAACTCCGCGATAATCATTCTAAACAGATATCCTCTTGCTCCAGAAAAAGTCGTCGGGACTCCTGATTTGTAGTCACCTTACATCTGAGACCTGGCATCTGAATTTCAAATTTCATCTGACAATTCCACCAAACTGGTGCCAAATCTGCGATCCAAGAATCGGTACGCAGTACACTATTATAATCTAAAACAGTATGTTTCACTAGGCCTTCAAGTGACCAAGATTCATGGAGCATTCACTTTCAAGCAATCTTCTTGGTTTGCAGCATGCATCAACTTCAACATTAGGCAGCGCAAATTAGCTAAATTCTTGTTCGAAAAGGTTTGGTTTGTTTTGGTTTTTGGAAAAATCATGGAAAATCTCAGGAAACGTATCTTGCAATGATCTAGTTCATCGTGAGATACGAGCCATCAAGAAAGTCGCTGCTTCAACATTTTACTCATTCAAGATCATCATGGACGATTTGGCAGCCATCGAGCTACAAAAAATCAGCTTGGTCGTGAACCGACTCATCTGTGTAGGCTTCAGTATGTTGGATTCATCGAAAACGCTGATGTATGACTTTAATTACGAATACATAAAAAAAAATTACGGATCCAAGCACGTTTACTATTCACAGAAACTGATAGTCTTTGTTAGGAAATAGAAATTGTCAGTATTTACAAACACATGGCCAGCAATCTGAGGTTTTTCGACACCTCATACTATCCGTAAAATCATCTTCTCTACTTCACTACCAATAGAAAAGCAATTGGTAAAATGAAAGAAGAAATGTCTGCATAAATTGCCCTTGGGCTCAAATAAAAAATGTTCAGCTTTCTTTGTAACTAAGAAGAAAACTGCTAAGGGTGTATCTAAAACAATTCTATAAAGACAGATTTGTCACTTGGACTTTGTTTACTATTTTGTTTAATAACAAAGTTGTCTTGCCCATGCTGAACGTATTGCCAGCCACACTCTTCAGATAAAGACTGTGGTCTGTATGAAAGATACTTTGTGCCTTTTCGAGACGAAACGTTATCTTTTAGAAGATGGAATATCGTCCTATGCTTATGGGCATTATGCCATAAAATATTTTAGTGTAAATAGTTTTATCTCTATGTCTTTACATTCATATTTTTGTATTTTGAAATATTTTCACTGTAAATTTAAGATGTAATAAAATGTCTTCACACTTTAAAAAATATTTTTTTAAATGGATTAACACGATGACTTTTAAAATAAAAATATTTTGCGCATAAATATCATGTAGTGTATTTTTGTTTTATGCTTTAAGAAAAATTAGGACCCACCAGCGGCCGAGCGGTAAAGTCGCTGAACACTGGTAGTTCGGTCTGAGGTTCGAATCCCGCGAACGGGCTGGCTGCATGGGCACTTTCGTGGTTTTCCCTATGTGTAACGTGTATACCAGCCAGTTTCCCTAAAAGTTCTCCACGAAGGCATCTCTTCTCTTATTCAGATAGTCCCAGAGGCTTTGCCATAATCACATAAACCAAACCAAACCAAACCATTAGAAAAACTAGAACG